ACTTGGAGCAAGTCTACACTGGAATGGACGACACGTTTGTAGTTTTGTTGTTTCGGTAAAACCTCGCGATACCGTTTACTTTGAACACACATGCACCCTTTGTCGTCAATTCGATGTGCAATCGAAGCATTTTCAACTAAAATGTTCAGATTACCACTCACATGAAGCCAGCTAATCCTTTCATTATAAATCTTTATTTTCCAAAATCTTTATTTCATAATTTTTTAAAAAAATGGTAAATGCATGTTTTTTTTAAATGTATCTTAATCTTATAGGCAATGGAATCCGTAATATGAGTTATTGAATTTTTTAGTTTGTATTCTGATCTTGAAGCCATTCTTATAAAATTGAAAACAGTGACAGAATAATAAACATACCATAAACTTGATGTTAAATAATTTTAATTCATGTTGGTCCTGAACTACTTGACTGAATGGACGACTTGCTCTTTAGAAAAATTTTTAATCTGGGAATAACAAAGGATATTTTCGGAAAGAAGTTATCAAAATTAGAAAAACTGCAAAGTTTGGTTGCGAAATGTTGTAAAATACGGAAAATATAGCCCTGCGAAGTTGGCAAATTTGTATACATTTCTATTACGTGCGGAAATTGGTAACTAATTTAGTTATCAATTCAAGCACGTAATATGACAAAAGTATACAAATTTGCCAACTTTGAAGGGCTATATTTTCCGTATTTTACAACATTTCGCAACCAAACTTTGTAATATTACTAATTCCAAGGCACTTTTTCTAGCTGTGGTGATATATTTCGTTGTTCTTACTTAGATTAATTGAAATTTAGTCTAAAGCGCAAGTCGTCCTTTAACGGGCTAGATCAATTTACCTATTTTTTAATTTCTTCATGAGTTTCAAGAAATCCCCTTAAAATCAGTTGTAAACCTTAAAAATTGTTATACTCAAATATATTGATTGGATTATCGTAATCGCACGCTGCATGCACGTCTGTGTTTATAAGTAATAGCATGGCATTCAGGGCGATTAGTGATTAAATGTACCCGAAAGCCGAGAGAGGTTTAAGGTTTAACTAAACCTCTCGAGGCTTGAGGGACATTTCATCACCAATCGACCGTAATGTCATGCTATTACTTTGTAATATCATAGTTGCTGAGGGAATCGCGCGTGGTGTGTTGCCTGTTTTGAATGCTGTTTGATTGTCTTATGATTGTGGTACGAACACTTTTTATATATACGCACGCGCAGAAACATATCTCCGTGTTCATTCGCGTTTTAGGCATGCGCATAAACGGAATTTTCTACCACAATTGTAATGTTCAAGATTAGGGAATAAAA